CTTCAAAGAGCCACGTGACAGGCTTCACGTGGGTCAGTCTACTGAGGAAGACCAGAGTGACTGGTACAAAAGCTCTTAGGTGAGAGTTATTTTTTTTTTTTTTATTTTAAACATTTATAAAGAAATACAGACACGATGACGGCGTACTCAAGTTGGCTAACTTATATTAACGCCGTCATCAAACAATAAACTTAATACAAAAATAAAGCAATATATACACTAACAAACAGATATAATAAGACAAATGGGGTTTGAATAAAGAATGAAGCTAAGAAAACTAAAAGCGCAGGTCCTTCCCCCCTCCCACCCTTGCTAATGTTGTGATTGGTAGGACACACCAAAGAAATAATGATAATAATAAATTAGGTTGGAGCAAAGCGTTTACTTGAAATAGTAAAATTTTGAGTTAGAACCATTATTTGACAATTAATTTTGGACGTGAATGAAGGGGATCCGTAAAGTAGAAGTTGTTCGAGAGCATTGTCGGAGAGTGAGTTTATGTCAAGGAGGTGTCCTACCAATGATTCAAGTTGGCCGAAGAGACGCTGTCGTTGATAACTGTATAAAGGGCAGTGGAGTAAGAAATGAGATATGGTTTCGCATTGGCACCCGCAGCTGCAAGCCGGGCTGTGAACTAACGTACGACTGAAAAGGCTGGCGTTCAAGCTGCAGGTGCCAATGCGAAAGCGTGCTAAAAGGGCAGAGGCATATCGGGGACCATAACTAAAATGTTTGACTTTGGTGGGGCATACAGATTTAAGTAAATGCATTCGAAACAAAGAATAACTAAGACTTCTTGTTGCCACGTCTAACTTGTTCCAATAACTTAAAGCGTAAGGAACAAAAGACTTAGCAAAGCGGTTTGATGAAGTGGTCAATGGTCTTAGATTCAATTTGTTTCGAAGGTTGTACGAACATGTCGATACAATATTGGAGGGGATTAGGTCATACAAATAACTACGAGAAGTACCGTGGATAATCTTGTAGAACAGCAACAGACGATGGATGTGTCTCCTGTCTGATAGTAATTCCCAACCAAGTTCTTTCCGAGTTAAGAAGTAAGAAGACCCTTTGACAGCACCTGATACAGTGAGTGCACATTGATATTGAATTCTTTCTAGAAGTTGAGTTTCCGCCACTGAACAGTTGTGCCAAACGACATCTCCATATTCTAAACAAGGTCGAATAAATGTTTTGTACAACGTTTCCAAAACTTGTCGAGAAAGTTTGAATTTTAAACCCTTAAAAGTGACTAGACTTTTGGAAATTTTGGACACCATGTTGTTGATGTGAGGTTTCCAGGACATATCAAAGCTTAATGTAAGTCCTAGATGCTTATGGGAGGGGACAGACTTAATAATACAGTTGTTTAAAAGAAGAGGTTGGTGTGCTGAGTTATCTTTTCTGGTTGAGAAACACATTTCTTCTGTTTTGGCTGGGTTAAGTTCCATTAACCACTGAACAGCCCATGAATGAATTTTTTCCAAATCAGCATTTAAACAGGCGGCGGAATAAAACGAATTATCAACAACATGAAGAAGAGAGCTGTCATCAGCAAAGAGAAATGGCTGGGAGATAAGATTATCCACGATGTCATTGATATACACCAAAAAGAATAAGGGGCCCAGAACTGACCCTTGTGGAACACCTGCAGTAACATTACACCAAGGAGAAGATATACCATCAATTGTTACTCTTTGAGATCTGTCACGAAGATAAGAATAGATCCAGTTTAAGAGAGGTCCTTCAATACCAAGTCTTTGTAGCTTGAATAATAAGCCGTTGTGCCACACCCTATCGAAGGCCCGAGAAAAATCGAGAAACGCGGCACGAACTTCTTTTTACCGGTGTCTAGGGCTTTCAAGATAATGTGACAAAAGTACGCTAGTTGACAAACTGTAGAATCGCCTCTAATGAAACCGGATTGAAGCCGATACAAAAGATTGTGTTGTATTAGGTAATTATACAGGTGTTTATAAACTATTTTTTCTAGGACCTTCGACAGGGTGGGAAGTAAGGACACAGGGCGGTAATTTCTTTTATCACTAGGATCGCCCTTTTTAAAAATGGGTATTACATTTGCATATTTCCATATCATGGGAAAGTATCCATGTGACAAAGAAAGGTTAAAAACAAAACTAATTTTATCTGCTATCAATGGCGTAATTAATTTGAGAAAACGATTATCAACATTATCGTATCCATGTGACTTGTAAGTATCAAGTTCTTTCACATAGAGTTGAACTTCTTCAGGAGTGGTGGTAACGTGGAGTAAACGACCAGTGGTAAAATATTGAAATTCCGGCAGCGAAGCATTTGTTTCGTCTATGGAAGATTGAAAGACAAAGTATTCATTAAAAAGTAAAGCTTTCGCTGAGGAATCAACAACAAACGTACTACCTTCCTTTAAAGGAGGAATAGCGGTAGTTGCTTTGGGTCTGTAAAAGTGTTTCACCACGTGCCACCACTTTTTACCTGATAAAGAAGGATCACTTAGAGATTCTGACAGACGACTAAAATATTCCGACTTACGGGATGAGATAGCGTTCGAAAGCTTGTTGCGGATTTTACGATAAGCGGCCCAATTAACCTGACAATTAGATAACTTGGCCAATTTGTGAAATTTGTCTCGGGATCGCATTAGCTTACGGATATCATTTGTCATCCAGGGTTTGTCTTTTGGTCTGACCACTATGTTTTTACTTGGGACACAAAGGTTTTTAGCCTTAATGATAAGTTGGCTTAATTTGTTCGCAGCGTCATCCACAGTGGGAAGTAAAAAAATGCTGTTCCATTCCAAATCATTACAAAATTCAAACAATTTATCATAATTAATACTAGAAAAATCCCACACAGTACGTACAAAAGGTTTAGGCATGTGACGAGTAAAGGACAAAGAACAAATAGTGGGGCAGTGGTGGCATCGGGAGAGTGGTGAACAGACAGACACAGAATCAACATAGTTAAAGGCGTCGGTAAATATGAGGTCGATAAGGGAGGCATTTCGTGAAAGGTCGCAGGTGGGCTCGTTAACAATTTGGATAAGATTTAAAAGCTGAGTAATTTGGTATAGTTCAGAGCCGATGGGGGAGGTAGTGTCCCGATGCCACCACCGCTCATGTTTTGCATTGAAATCCCCAACAATTATGATAGCATCTGGGCGTGACATACCCGCCATCTGGACGGAGTCGGAAAGGGAATTCAAAAAATCGGTGGCAGAACGTGCGTCCTGGCCAGGTGGCCGGTAGTAGACGGCAAATAAAATCTTAAAAGACTGGATTCTGAGTTCAACCCAGATGGCTTCAAAAGATTGGGGCTCTAGATCGGTACGGCGCTTAAAGGCAATAGAAGATGAGAGGTAAACTAGAACTCCTCCGCCGTGTCTATTCCGATCACGTCGAATCGGAGGCTGAAAATTCTGAATAAAAAGGTCGTCAGATGAAACAACATCGCTCAGCCACGTCTCAGTAATTGCTATGACATCAATTTTTTGTGTTGGACCAAAAGTTTTAACTTTAAACATGTAACTACCAACACAGATAAACTTTCATGACAGTATAACGTCAGAATGTTGTAACGAAAGGTGATTTCGACAGACTCCACAAGCTAGAGGCGAATTCCTTATTGCTCGTAGAGATCAAAGATGGACGAATCAAAACAAAAGACCCGGAACAGAAGTGGGCAGGACTGGACAAAGATTTGGTCATGAAATGTATGTGGTCTATACTAAGGATCCAGACAGTTGTAGAGTTCATGACAGGTTGACAAGTCACAACTTGTATGCAAGATACAACGACTCCACAGAGAAGGAAAAGGATAGAACTATTAGAAGGTGTTTTTCAACTTCCGTACTTCCTCCAGGACGTGATCATGACGAGGAGCAAGTAGTTGTAATGGCATGGTAGGAAGAAGGAGAGACCCATGGAGAGCACATCGCTACATCGCCAACATAAAGCCATGCTAGTGGATAGGGTCTTGGACAACTCTTTACCACCACATATGCGAGGGGTGTTCATCCGGTATAGAGATGAAGCCTCCAGATCCACTAGACAGAGCACATCGGACAACCTTATTATACCGAGGCCCCAACTGGAAGTGTACAGGCGGTCACTGAGGTACTCAGGGGCGACTGTGTGGAACTTCTTGCCACCACATGTACGAGCAGCCCAGTCATTGGGAACATTCAGAAGTATTATAAGGAACTTGGACTGATAACGGACTGATGATTTACTATTTATTTTTGTATTATATTTTGATTTGTATTTTGGTTTGATTTTGTATTATATTTTGATTTGTAATCCGTGACCCCGCCCTCACCATTGACCTTGTTGAAAAGCGGTCATATGTATGTACAGAACAAGCTTTCGAAATAAAGGATTACTACTACTACTACTACTACTACTACTACTACTACTACTACATCTGGCCCCCCGGGACAGCCAACTTCAGGCTTGCCAGAAGGAAGAGGGAGGTGGGTATGCACCTCATGAAGGAGCTGAGTGAACTATGCAAACGGTCACCACGTGTTGTACGGCAGTGTTTATAGCAATGTGATTGAGGGATGAACCCTACAACCCCATCTGTGCAAAATGACACAAGACGGCAACCCTATATGAGATGAAGATGACGCACAGATGGTAGGACTACTTCTGAGCGCCTCTCAACGCAGTTCAATCCCACAACCCGTGGAACATAACTTACTGGAGGAGCGGATAAGAACAGCAATGAAGTCCAGCTCTAAAGGAGTGGGCAGACGGCATCCGTTTCAGAGATTGACATTAAGTGGCTCAGCAGAATCTTCCAAAAAGTATGGGCGGGGCGTGGAACGGCGTGAAGTCATGAAATAAAGAATGAAGCACGTGCCTGCATATGTGACGGGATCTGTGATTTAGTTTTTCATTTCTGTTGTTACTGTTGATGATTTAAGAGTTCATTTGGTCATTACAACTTGACGGAAAGCCTTTGAGACCTCCTCAGTTATTTTACTGCCTGTATGGCAGCCTGGTATTGACAGCCAACTGCATTTCCAGTAACTGTCACCTCCTCTATCACCCGCGCTGCCTGCCCGTCACTTCGACCTTTTCATATTTTTTTAGAGCGATAATTTATGACAATGGCTTGCCAATAAACGAAATACTGTAGGGGACAGCCCACTGAATCCAGCCCCTATTGGAATATATAGAAAACATCTAAGAACTGAGCTGTCAACAATCACCTACTTGAGTGTTCAACCATTGCAAACACACATTCACAGGGTAGTCCAACTTCCAAATTGTCCATTTGGTCCAAAAATTTCACTTTTTGACCGGCAAATGAAAACACTGGCAGCATGACCTCTGACCCCCTTGAAGACCACCAAAAGACAAGAAGATGGGATTAGTTTTAAAACTCTACCAAGCAGCCGAAACAACACTAACAGCCATTTTTTTCAACTTAATAGAAATAGAAATAACTCTCCAGCTGGAAAATGCCAGCATTTATCCACACATATCAAGAAAAAGGCTGTTTTCAGTTGGTTTGGCTGCACTCAATCAAACTCAGGTCTCAGACTGGGCCCTCTGGGCATGCGCCATTCGGTAGCCTTTGCCCTGTACCTCCATTTCACCAGGAAAATGATAAAAACCTACTCGATGCGTGTATGTATCATTGTCTTGGCCAAACAAAAGTCAGTCACACGCGATCATTACAGGTAATGACTTATTGAAACATGCCTTTCTTCAACATTCCTTTGGTCCCTCCCCCTTTCTGTCGCTGCGGAGCACGGGCAATTTCACGGTGACTTATCAAGCTGTTTCTAGTTTAAAGAGGTACTGAAGTCCAGAAGAGGTACTGAAGTCCAGAAGGGAGTGCTATTTTGCAATACATTAATCTTCAATGAAATCATAGCTACAGTTCTGGGAACACATGCCTTCGCAAATCGTAAGATGAACGCAAGATGGCGTCGTGTTGTACAGAACATATGGTATATCGATTTGTCGTCCCTACAATTTGTCGTCCCTTTGTATATTACGATTACAAGCATGTTTTTTTCGCGCGCTCACTAGATTTAGGACCTCCAGAGGACGTCATGAGTAAAAAATAACTTGGTGTGGCCTAATGGCAGAGCGACAAATTATAGACATAAGCAATTTTGTCAGATATGAGACCAATCAATTTTAGGAACAGATAATTTACGTTATAAAACCGAGATTTAGATTTTATATTACGAGATTTAGAAAGATTAATATCACATATCTACAAGTCTACTTCCTGACCTTAAATAGAACATTCAGGCAGCCGAGTAACGGTTACAAAATCAGGAAGAATAATCTATTCTCTAGGATCACTTATGTATGTGTAACTGGACTTGTAGTAGAGGAATTGTAGAAGTGGTTTTCTCTCTCTCTCTCTTTCTTTCTCTCTCTCTCTCTCCCCGAAGAACTGTGCGTGAGAGTGTGCCTTTGGCCCTAGACACATGTCATAACCACTGTAACTGTTTCTTCTTAACTGTGGCCAGGAAGCTGTCGAGTGGTTTTATATCTATAGAAATGTTCGATAATGTACCAATATTTATTGCTGGCTAAATTGGAGTCGGACAGAGACTGAACTAGGCGATTCTGATCATTTGATTTGGAATGTGAAATTTCTCTTTCAAGATTGTTTTTGACCCTGCCATATTCTGGGCATTGTTTATTGTTTTTAAACAATTTCTTGGCTATTTCATCGCGTTGAAACATTAGTCTTCTCGGAGCTATGATTATTTGCTTCATGAAAACTGGCAGACCTACCCCCGTCATGACGTCACCAACCATCCCGCTCCATGTCCCATCTGCACCGCGGCTTCCATACTTCCCATCATGCACCTCGTACAGCTCATAGTCGTAGTCCAGCATGATTGACAGTTCTTTCAGAAGGTCCATACAGAATCCGGAAAATTCCGGTCCACCTGAAGTGTCCACTCTAAAGGCGAAGGGTTCTTCCTAATCGGGGTGAAAGTTAAGGTCAGGTAAATCAATGTATACATGTCCCGTGCTGCAGTAAGTTCATAGTACCATTCACCAATTTCACACTTCCCATAATGCCTAGTGAAGATCACGGATCTAGTATAAAGCGCATGCCATAATTGCATTTTTGAAAGAATGACGTACCTTCTATCGTTCTACCTTCTACCGAAGACTCTCCTACTCGCACGGTCGCATTACGTATATCCCCTTCTTACGTTATATCCCATCCATATCCGTGATCTTTACTAGGCATTGTGGGAAGTGTGAAATTGGTGCATAGTACTGTTTGCCCCATCCTTAACCCTAGTCAGACCGGGCTTTTTGGGCATGCTCAGAAGGGGGGGGGGGCTTTTGAGGTCCGCCCCTTGTAACTCAACAACCACTTATCGTGGGGCCATCAAATTTTCAATATGTAATAAAATGATTCATAACAACAACTTTTGTGTAATTATGACGTCATATGATATGATTTTTTTGGTAAAACCTTCAACAATTGTTTTCCCATAAAACTCAGACGAATACAACCAAACTTAAAGAAAACGTGTCTATGATAGAATATTAATGTCTGCTAAGACAACCATGCCTTATGTATGTGCCTTATGTACGTCTTTAAAAAACAAACTCAGGGAACAAAATGGCCGCATAGAGTTAACATTCGTATTACCACTTGCTAATTGTACAAACGGGAATAAATGTTTGCTAAAAACCCCAAAGGATGTATCTAAAAAAGACTGGCAACAACATAAAATGACGTCATGCATAATTAAGCTGTCGGCTATCTTGGATCGGAAATCTTGAATTTTGAAAATTGCATTTTTTTCAAAATACAGCCTCAAAACGCAACGCAAATGGACTTAAGATGCTCATATGAACGTTTTATGTGGAAAAAAATTGGAAAATTAGTGAAAAAAACATGGTTACACAAGAGCTAATTTTATGGTCCGCCATCTTGGATTTTGACCGATGAAGTCAGCAAATTAGCATAAATTATGAATATTTATAATGAAAGAAATCATATATAATTATATAAGATGTTACTTATGCTAAAATGGAAGTGTAATTAAACATAGAACCTAGAGAATTTTAATGTTTGAACCAAAATTACTTTTTTTTTCCAAAAACTGCCTGTCGGAAACCCGTTGCCATGGCAACACGAAAAATAAGGTACTTATATAATTGATTCCAAATATATTTTACGAAAAGTCACCAAATTTGACGGTCTGAATAGCATTAAATATTTGGGCCCTATTACTACATACCAGGCCTTTCGTATTCGCTAAGCAGATTCTGGAAGCGAAGGGGGGAAATAACTTAAGAAACTGAAACATTATTAAGAACTGACTTAAGTTTGTTAATTTCACGAATTTATGACAGCTGCCAATCTTGCAATCTTGCAGTCTTGTAATCCAACAACTGCATGACAAAAAGGGAAGTCAATAACGTTACATGTATTTCAAAGACTGTTTTCTGATAAATATCTATTCACCTTTAGGGTAAACAGAACAACCCAGCAGTCTAAAGATATGAGTTGAATAGTTTATTTTTGATCATATAGTCATAGCTTACAAAACTCGCTGTTTTCTGGTACCGTTAGCGTGACGACCCTGTACGTCCTGTTGGCGGTACTGTGGCGCTGCCGCGGGCCTGGCTGCAGCTGCAGTCCGGTCACCGGGTCCCACGCCCCGACCTGCAGTAAACAACACACATGGATCGTACTTTACTGAACTTAGGCCACACCGGCTTAATTATATGGATGACATCCGCGCGTGCATTGATTTTCGCCTGTAAAAAAGTCACGTCCTCCCAGGCTCTGGCCTGGCTCTAGTCCTGGGTAGTCCATGGTAGTTAACGACAATACCACGGCGGTAACTTAAGAGGATGGCACCGAGGCTACCGAAGCTCCACGACTCAAAACCTCAGTACATACGTACAGTCCCGATTCATAAATTACGCAAATAGCCAGCATGTGCAGGCTTGTCGTATACGTCGCTATGTACTGACGAAAATTCACAATACCAGCTTTGTATTCCTGTGGTTTAGTATCATTTTTATTTTTGGCCGGAATTTTTTTATTCGCCCGCGCGCACTAGTTTGGGGTCTTCAGAGGATGTCATCATTAAAATTTAGTCGGTGTGGCCTTACTGAACTTACTGAATTGGCTGATTTATCAAGCGATGGCGAATCAGCTGATTAAGCACCTAAGTATTTAATCAATATCAAGGGCTGTAACATATTAGGTTTAATGAACAGTTTGAAGTATTGTCAATGGCAGGGGAAGTTGGACAATTAATCCAGTCATATCTGTGTGAGTGCACTTCTTTTAAACATTTGCAGGTGGCGAGTGTCTGGTGAAAACTGTCGACCTCTCTAAATTTAGCCGTCCGAGACAAAAAAAAGAAGGGATAAGTTGGAGGATGGATGTGGAGATTATATATTTTTTTCTGGTCCTGCATTTCTATGTGTTCGACATCATCAATATTAAAATTTCCTTGTTGGATTTTTTCTCCATCGCTGGATTTTGGTCCTAATTCATATGCAAATTAATCACGTGACATAGACAGGCCCCAGTCCCACTAGAGTAAAACTGTCCGGATTGATTCGTTTTGATCCGACTTCGATCCGGGTCGAATCCGGATGGATTCGCTTTGATCAAACTATTAGACTTAACTAGCTTTTAGTGCCCGCGCATTTCCGTGCCAAATACAGAACTTGTCAGATCAACCACAGCAGAAGCCTGTCAGTTTTATCTGACTGATGCCGCCATCAGTCATTCCACTACAGGACGAGAACTGATGATGCACATGACGAGAAACATCAGTAGTGAAGCAGGCACGGCATAGGCCTTGTTCATATGAAACCACCTGAACCGCGATTCGGGTAACTCGCATTCCTCACATCTGGTCCACGTGTCATACATTCCTTTCAAACCGTGCCCGATCACGATTCTCCGAAACTGCATTCACTGTTGTTTGATGAAAACACGCTAGGTAGCGTGTTATTTATGTCAGAGGTCAACGACCTGCTTGCTGGTGCCCCCCTCCCAGCGTATCTCGGCCGAATGCCGACGTGGTCCCGCCAGAGGCGGTGAAGCTCGTCCTAGAACGGACACATCATTTGACCATTACTGCTCTTTAAGTTGCTGCCACGTAAAATTTGGTATTGCATATAAATAAAGTCACATCGAAATCAAATTTACGTCATCAGACGCAAATCGCGATGCGGGAAAACCGATTCGAAACCACCTCTAGAAGTGGTTTGGGATCGAGGCGCTTGTAATGTGATTTGGAGCGTTCAGATGGAGCCACTTGAAACCGGCTTCGGGGGAAACCATATGTAAAGCGCCTTCACTGACTTCATATGAACAGGGCCATAACGATTGTCGCCGAGAGGTGATTATCAACTCTACCGCCTTGCCACCATCTCACCAGGTCGATATATGGACAACAAATCAAATCGTCCTTCTCCCTGAATAAAGTCGATACAGGTGATGATGTGTGTCCGCTGGAGTCAATATTTCCCCTTAACATCATCAGTCTGGGCTACTTGAGAACTGTTCACGCAGTCTGGGAGAAGGATTAAGGTAGCAGAACATAGTTTTCGCCGTATAGGGATTTCTATAGTTAAGGGCCCCTAAGTGACTCATTTCGACTCACTGAAAATCATAGTAGGGTGTACAAGCAAGGTTCAGAATTTCGATATGTTTAATTTCAGGGTATAGTGTACAAAATATGTGAAAATGGGCTTAAATTTGCCGGCTAGTTCTCTTCTCACGCCCTCTTTTATTAGCGCCACTGCGGAGGTCATGGAACTGCAGCCGACGCACAGTACTAGGCGGGACAAGTACCCAAGCGCAAATCTACGCCGACTGAACATGCACCATGATTCAACTTTTACAGTCTTAAAACTGACGTATTCCTCTTACATTTACCACAGGTTCTATCTCGATGCCATGCACAGAACAATCTAGGCACCTTTTTCTAGTATTGTGCAGCACTACTTTGTGCCCGCCCACAAATACTGTGTTGTACGGCCTTAATGTGACTGTTCTGTCAGATCACGTGTTAGATATTCAGAAACGTGTGTGGAAGCTTGTGCTGGGTTGCAAGATATACTACAGAACTAAATCACACTAACAATGTATTGTGGTGGATTGTGGCACATACCAATACCCATCTGCCTTTACCTGCCTCATCTTTGACCTGTCTTGTCTTCTTTCGAGTTGTAAAACCTGCACATGCGCGTCGAGGTTATAGCCGCTCCCGCTGAACTTTGACCTCCCCATGACTCCTGAGATCTGCACCTGCGCAGTAACATGGACAAGTCAGGTAACAACACAGCATCCGCCTATGGGTAAAGGACTACAACTTGTGACTGACATCGACGCTTACACCTGGCTCCCTCTCATATAAGGGGCACACCCCAGTTAATTTTGGGTCTCAATTCGATTCTGCATACCCTCAACTCTAGCGACCGTCTCTTTCAGGAAATACCTCTTAAGCCAAAACACTGTGTTTGCAAATGAAGGATATCTCTCTAGCTACGAGAACAATAGAATTTCAATTTCTTTCACCTCTCACATTTTAGTACATTTTAGGGGGGAAAAGAATTTTTCGATGAAAAAATTATGCCAAAAATTGGCCATTTTCACGTGGAATTAGACTCATCACCCAGAATTTAGCCACCGTAATGACTTATATGGTCGGAAAGAGAAAACCCTTGTGTATTATTAAGAAAAGTATAGAGAAAATCCTAACACTGAGACTATCACAATAGCCCGTCGCGCGAGGCATAGCTACAGCACCCCCAGAACGCATACAAGGCATATCTAGGTCAAACCGAAGCACCGCGCTCAAGGGGGAAGGACATCCGGAAGTAAGCCTTGGGCCCGAAATCAATTTTCACCCAAAACACGGCACTTCTTACACTTTCCAGCCATGTTAGTAGTTATACCATTTTACAGCAGATTATGAGAAATGTAAACTCAAACATGAACCATCGGAACCCCTTTGTACTTTGTCACTTTTTTCCGGGCACCGATAAGACTTTCTGGCCACAGGCTTCAGGACTACATGTACTTTACAAACTACTTTACATGTCCGCGTCGAAGACCACGTACGAATGGTACGTATGGTAAGTTTAAGGTGAAATTTTCCGCAACTGTTATGTTGATGGTTTTTGAGTATTTGAAAGCTACTGGAAGTAAGGGTGTGATTTTGGGCTCCCTATAGTCAGCAGCTTGCTGGAAACTGTAGTGGGCATTTTTTTTAGCTTTTCAAGGAAATAACTCAAGCTTGGGTTGATTAATCTTTATTGTTTAAGGCTCTTAGATACCATAGAGATGTATGAAATTGTAATCTATACCTAATTATAAAAATAATGATTTTTCCAGCTTTTCACTGGATGATGTAAACCTGGCCCCACTTATCAGCACCCCCCCCCTCCCCCTCCCCGGGGTCACAAATCTTTGGTGTTATGAAAGACATAATTTACATGAATAATAAGAAAAAAATGCATTAGAGGTCACTGACAAGAATTTCATACTTGTGGCATTTGGAATCTAAGTGAAGGTGAACATAATTGCACATAACTTATTGAAATCAGGACCTTATTTGCATGGTTTATGAGGAAGAGCTAGAACAGCCCTCTTTGTTTAATACAAGCCTGTCATTGGTTGGAGAATGACAAAATGATATAAGGCCACACCAAGTTAATTTCTTGGTTAACGGATTCGGCCGTTTCATTTATTTCTGATTTGCAAATACATGTAAAATTAAAAATTCAGAATCAACTGCAAAATGCTCATATTTTACCCGGAACAGTTGAGTCCTTTTCATCTTAGTTGTTGCAGTTATTCCATCTTCCAATGCAATGGTATCATTAAAAGTTCAAAATTCATTGTTTAAATTTTGAACCAGCCTGGTGTGTTGACTTCATGGCTCCTATCGTACCATTTTGGGTCATAATAGGATGCCTAGGCCTGTTTTTATTTTTTCGCCCGCCCGCTCCATAATTTTTCTAGAAAAATACGTTAACCAAGAAATTAAATTGGTGTGGCCTAAGTACAAGTAAAAAGAAGTAAAAGGTTAACATCATTAGGCGAAGGCAAGAGGTTATCGAACTTGTTATATGCTTTGATTGTTCACTCATCGACCTTCTCGCTCAAACGTCCATATACAGTACATTCTGCATATTTTGTGACCGGAAGTCTTACCTCTCTTAGAGCATCCATGAACATCAGACCGCCATTCCACGGTGTGGATGTGTCCGTTTTACACCTGAGAACATAGTTATGCAGCTAGAATATTTAATCGTCATTGGAGGTTGAGTGATCAATTCAAAACAAAACATTTTGACTCGGAGACGGGAGGCGTTATAAACTTCCGTCCTGTATGTTTGACCTCAATGGTCCTTTATGTTCACATGTTTATTCATACAACGCTGGAGGTTATTGTTACATTGATACTTTCACTTCAATTACATGGTCCGTACATGGCTTCTGAAATAATCATATCTCACATGCCATTACTATGAGGTAATGAATAGATTTGACGCTTGATGGGTCCAACTAACTCTGTAACAGTTGGGATGTCGGTATTTTGTCTGGAATCTGTAGCTCAGCCTGACACATATCAAATACCGGTAACTGTGTTGGTGTAGAGATCGCACGTTCAGTACGCACGTGAGTCGGTTGGGTCCGATCCAGCCTCTCGTGTTGAGGAGGGAAGAAAAGGCGCTGGCCAGGAGATGTACGGCGTCATACATGTACGCTGCCGATAACTGGGGAACGGAGCACAGATGGATTATATGAACGTTTATTGCAAATACATGCCCGAAGGCTAATTGCAGTTACAAACAACATAAGAAAGAAAATACAGTGGTATGTGAGACTATATCTACGTCTAGCATTATACTATATTCTACAACATGATTGGTACTAGTGCTACTGGGTTTGACTTCTTTTTAGGCAATGGAAGACAAATTTACCCACTTCTTCTATAATATGTGGGTTCGTTGATTTTAGTAGTAAAATTGTTTTTTTTTGGTAGGGAATGGTCGGGAAGTACGAATTACCAGTATATGATTCTTTATTGACACAACAAAAAAGTACAGGGACTTTTGTATGGTCTTCTACAACTAAAGATCTAACAAAGCTAAATACATGTGTGGATAACGTCATCTTACATTTATGTACGTACAGAGTATATGTATGCGGTAACAATAAAGGTTTAACTATTCTCTAACATGTGGTCTCTAAGATCGAGACATTCTTTAATGTATTTTCCTATTTGAAAATGTATTTTCCTATCTCCCCTGAGAATGTAGTTAAATTTATCTATAGGATCTAACGTATTGAAATCAATTGAACAAGCGGAAAGAAAAGTTAACAGCAATAGGCGCTTATCATTGTAGAGTGTACAATCCATTATAAAATAGTGCTCATTTTCAATTATGTTTGGACAAAATGGACAGAACCTTTGGTCATTTGGTATTTTCTTGTATCGACCCATTTCTATGTTTAATTTATGACAACTAATTCTTAATTTTGTGATCGCTTTTCGGATACTTTCATCATAATCATGACATGAAAGCGAACATACTCACTCTGGCGTCCTGTAGTGCCCTACCGTCCTGGTCACCAGTGGTCAGTGTTGACCAGTGCCTGAGAAAGCGGCTCGTGTACTCGTTATAAGACAACGGACGGCGCATCACCGTGAAGACATCAGACGATGTGTGGAGAGATTGTAACGTCTCCAAGGTGACTTCCTGCAGGGAAAACTATGATTTCAGTACCGTTCTGTTTTCAATCTGAGTCCTTACAATGCTGAACACACGAAAATACAAAGGTAAAAAGTAGCTCAAGTTAGCCATGGCACTTGACATTTGCCACATTGTACTCTAATGCTGAGGTCACATTTTTAAACCGGGGCCCGGCCGGGCTGTTTGGATTAGCGAAAAATCAACAGTTCTTATCATGAATATACGCAGATAGTTCCCATTGTTAACTGTTGATATTTTCAACTTGGTTGTCGTTTATATCATACTTTTCGATCGATATGACTGCCCGGCCGGGCCCCGGTTTGGAAATGTGACCTCAGCCTAAACCGTGTGTCTGCACTCTCGTAGTGTGTCCACCTGATGCCACTTTTCACACACTGTACATGGCAATACGTAAAGAACAACTGTCATACAGCTATGCTGTGTGGGTCAATCACAAGCCCCCATTTCTTGATCGGGCATACAGCCATATCGTCATAGGCATAGCTTAATAAGGAAGAAGGCCATTACCAGTACCAGTACCATTTTCCATTTTTCCCCCATTTTGACATTCGGCATCAAAGAGAACTATGAATAGAATTTCATGATCTCATACCTTCGCCAAATGATGTTAACCTTAAAGATTTACTGATCATAAATTTTTCACGTTGATTATGCAAATAAGATCCTCATTTGTATAATTCATATATAAATAATTGATCATATTCTCCACCGACAGCCTGCTCACACTATACTATAGTAAGATGTTAAATTCTTGCCGACGTGCTCCAGACCTATAGCAATCTGCAGGGCTCTGTCTCATTTCGAATGCCCGGTATACTAGTAGTTCAATCTGGCAGCGCACCTTGTTTGCGATGATCCAGTTGTGCTCTGGTGTAAGTATCCCCGCTCCTGACGCCTGCGACAGAGAAAAGCGAACATGTAGCGATGAACGTAGCGTGGCGACAGCGTCTGTCTAACGATCAGAACGCTTTTAACCATCTTTTAAACATGAACAGCAGGCCAATTCGAAGATCTCATACCTCCCTGGACCTCCTCCTTTGTAACCATTTTAAAAAATTGGCTACCGACATACCACAAATCATCACTATACGTTGTTCAATAATACCCGTAATGTACAATACATTACGGGTTTCGCGCAGGTGCAGTACGTTCTGCCGACGTGCTATCTCGACCTGGCCTGAGCTCGTAGACAACACACTTGCACGCCACTTGTTTCTGATTCAGAGTACTATCTGCACAAAAAATTCAAGGCCGTAGCATGTTCAAGGCAAAAGATAAAAACGGAAGTTCTGCGGCAGTACCAAGGTCAGCTACCAGAAGGCCCACACTTGAACTTGACTTTTCTTTCCAAGAGTTATCCACATACCAAATATTATAACAATCCATTCAGCCCTTCCTAAGTTATGCTAAACATGCCAAAAAAACACACATATACACACATAGACACACAGAATCACAAACGCACCTGTTTCACCAGCCGGACAGAGTTTTCTGCAGAGCACAGGAGAACCGCACGTCGCAATTTGCCCCCGTACTCCACCAAAGGCGATTTCTTCGCGTTTGCCTGCCATTCCGTGACGTCATTTCCGCCTGTGAATTTCTCCACGCGAAGGAGAACGACCTCCAGAAATGTCTTTCTTGTGAGAGACAACAGACTCTGCACATGGGAGAAGTCTGCAATAGAAGGAGGGGGGGGGGGCTTAAAGGCATCCAATCCAATTTCATGGCGGCAAAACTGGATGTCAAAATCAATGTTCTGTTCATTCTTTTAAGTTGCATCAACGCTATCCCATAGCATACTGAGGATCTTTGTATCCTATGTATCATGTTACTCAGTATGATGTACATGTATGTAACATCACACACTGATGTATGCATGCAGCTCCATGGGCACGAACATGCAAATAAATTAAGATACAATTATCATGTTAATACCTACATACCATAATAGTCGTCAAAAAGTATCATCATGCTCTTCCATTTCAGCCGAGTGATGACGTCTACAAGGTCCCGATCAACCTCCTCCTGCGAAGGGCGCATGCTCACGGTGTAGCCCCGGCTGTGCATGACTCTGCAGTTATCCTGTGACACGAAGACGTGCGGGACGTGCAGGGAGTTGGCGACGGTCTGCAGCCCGAAGTTTGCCGGGCAGGACGTACAACTCAGCACGGCGGCCACGCCTTTCCCGAGCAGGGAACATCCTGGGGGGAACAACAAAATAACAGTCTACTCGCTGGGCAGTCACAATGAGGTACTGTAAGCTACACTAATACACTAAATTTACTACTACTACTAACTACTACTACTACTTTAATTTCTTGTTGGTCCCTCGTGGTTGAGGATGATCAATGCCTTAGTTCAGTTCTAGTGGGTCCGGAGATGGCTGGTGAGGCCGATCCGGGCCAGGAATCCTCGCCCCCACTACTACTACTACTACTGCTACTGCTGCTGCTGCTGCTGCTACTGCTGCTGCTACTACTACTACTACTACTACTACTACTACTACTACTACTGCTGCTGCTGCTGCTGCTGCTGCTGCTGCTGCTACTACTACTGCTACTACTACTACTACTACTACTACTACTACTACTACTTCTACAACAACGACAATAATAATAATTTTCTTGACCTCGTTTTTAAGGCGAAACCGGAAATTTGACCTGTCGCTATAATTTACAAACCTCAGGTATATGTTACTGATGAATTTTACTTTTTCTTGATTATATGATTCTTATTTGGAAGGTTTTAGAACATCTGTTTGCGACGGCATTTAATATTTCAGCCGTTCGGTTTATGAACTTTCCAACCTCGGAGAGAAGTGAAGAGGAATGAGGAGGAGGGTTGGTCACAGACAGTGAGTTGAGGAAGCCAGGGGACGGGGACAAGATGTATGGGGAGGTGTACGAGAGCCACATGAGAGCCCCATATGGGAGAATTCAATTTCTCGTGAAGGCTGTGTATGATTTAAGCCCCAGTCCAGGCATTGAATAAAAAGAGATGGAGAAGGCAAGAGGAGGCCCCGTGGCTTTAAGCCAATGAAGCATGACAAGGTGTTGAGGGTGCTGGCAACAGTATTGGAAGATGAACAGGAGAGACAACAGAGCAGAATGGGACCACAGTGCACAGAGGATTTGTGAAACAGGGAGGGGTAAAGAAAAAATGGAGAAAAGCCTGAGGAATTCTTGGGTCTTACAGACGTGATCTTGTGGTCAAAGCAGCTGGCGAAAGTGGTGATGATAGAACTGACCGTCCTGTGGGAGGAACAAGAAGAGGAGCCCATGAGAGACTAACGTATCAGGAGCTGGTGCAGTCCTGTGTGGACAGAAGATGTACAGCAAGCCGTTTCCTTGTGGAACATTGTGCCACATTGCCGGACGGCTGACACATGACAGCTATGGGACTGGTGAGGTGAACTGAGACTGAAGCACTTCCACATTACAAAGGATGATCTGATCTTGACAATGTGTACATTTCTTACATATTGCCCTATTGCCATATATTGTTGTTTACAACAGTGTTCACTCCGATTGGTCTTCAACCACTTGTGGCCTACCACAGGGGACTGTTCTTGGTCCACTCATATTTCTTGCTATTATTAATGATGCTTGTCACGACGCCACTGCTACAAGGTGGAAGTTTGTAGATGATTTAAATCTTGCAGAGAGTCGGAAGATCGAAGCTACCTCCACCTTGCAGACTGACCTCGATCATCTCTCCACCTGGGCTACCGATCGGGAAATGAAGCTGCATCCAAGAAAGTGCATGGTGATGCACGTGTCGTTCACAAAAGCCCCCTTTCAACGACCTCAGCTTTCTATAGCCGGTGAACCGTTGGTGGAAGTCCAAACAGTCAAACTACTGGGCATTCACGTTCAATCCGACCTACACTGGGAGTCCCATGTTAACAATGTTGTCAGAAAAGGCAGTCAAAAACTCTATCTACTCAGTCAGCTCCGGAGCTTCAACCTTCCCTGCGACGATCTTCTCACATGCTACAAGACACTCATACGACCAGTTTGCGAATACGCCGCCCCCACGTGGCACCCGGGCCTAACATCAGTTCAGCGAGCAAGGATTGAGGCTATACAGAGAAGGGCATGTCGGATAATCTTAGGACCTTCATACACATCGTACGCAGAAGCATGCCGCAAACTTGACTTGCCCACACTTGAAGCCAGACGACGTACTCTGTCTTACAACTTCGCCAGAAGGATGCTTGACTCTGAGACTTACAGAACTTGGCTCCCACCTTTGCGTGGCGACATAAGTACCAGAGACACTAGATCTAAGCACCTGCTGAACCCTATCAAAACTAGAACAAGTAGATATTACAACAGCCCCATCCCGTACATGACCAGACTCTTGAATGAACACTAATACCTATACAAGAACTGTGAACTTACGAAAATGTGAATCTTGCCAATGGGTTAATGTAGTTAATGCTAGCCACGTATATTTGTGTAAATGTGTTAACGCAAACTATGACGAAATTAATAGTAAGCCTTCTATATTGTGTTAATGAGTTTCTATATTGTGTTAATGAGTTTCTATATTGAGTTTCAATGAGTACTGTTAGTTAGTAATTTAAGATTTTTTAGCAATTGTACAAGGTATGCAATTCAGCCCGGTGGCTGCAAACTAATTTCAATAAACCATCTATTATAATTATTATTATTTTTCCTATTCGATTTTAAAGTATCTCAATTTCATTACAGAATGGTTGTGTATATATAAATGATTATGCTGACCGTAAAACTTTTGCTATTGATTTTAGCTTGTGTAAAAAAATGTTCTTTTTTAATGTTTTGCAGTCAATGTCTGTATTATCGCTTCATCAATTAAGTCGTCGGGCTGCGACTGTTTGATATAGTTGATATAGTCATAATAAACCATTCTATGTTGACGAGGTCAGTCCATGTCGAATCATGCAGAGAGTCTGAAACAACTAACGCAATTTGTCTTTCTCCTGTGGAAGATCACAGTTATAACTAGAGAAATAACATTTGTTTACCTTCCGACGGTCTGCTCTGATAATTCTTACTCAAACACATTCACATACATGTACTACTAGATAAGTATATGGTGACAGGAGCAGAGCAGACCATGAAATTGCAACATTATGTAACCCAACACCAGTCACCATGGTGACAGACGTCAACAAATTATGTCATTGGTCAGGTCAGAGGTCACTGTTTGGAGAAGAAGAAGAGGAAGAAACTGAGCAAAAACAATATGTTTTCCTTCGGCAAATATAATAATTAAATATAATATAGTAATTATACTAATTATGTGATGTTACTTTCCTCGTTACCAATCCTGAGTGGGGGTAAGCTACTATAACCGTCAGAAGTAGTGATTGATAATACTGCCTGCTCTTTAATGACAGTTACTTCATCAGCCCTAGCCGATACCCTTCTGTACGATCAATATGTCCGGCATGGCCGGGAAACTTACAGTGTGATGGAGGACAGCTTGTCTTCAGATTGTCAGCTTATGTAGAAATTTATTGTCTCCGCTTTAGTATCTCCCTTCTTGCAATCTTTCGGTACTGTGTAACACTCGTGCCATTGCTGTGAAGTCTTGGCTGGTGACTAGGCCTGTGCATTTGTACTTGATTAGAATGCTCTGCACAGATGTGCTGACATGTTTGGGCTGTTCGTTATGTGACATGTTTGGTACCTTAGATATCAGCCTTGCTAATACTATAACTAAGAGTAGGACAGAAAAGGAGATTAACAACAGGATCACCAAATTCACTAAGATCATATGTGACCTTTATCCTCTTCGAAAAGAAAACTGCATGTATTACCCAAAGATGCTAAAACCTGTATCTATACAACAATATAAAGACATGTCTTGTTACTAAGGAAGCGAAATCTGGACTCAAGAACTCAAAAGTAGGGTACTGTAATGAGAGTTTTATGATTCATTTATGATGTAACAAGGAAACGACATCAGAAATGACATCGCCCACAGAGCACTATCAGTCGAGTCAATACTCTCTATTTTAGAAAGAAACCAACTGAGATAGCTTGAACACCTACATAGGATGCCGGAAAATAGAGACGTAAAAAGAATCTTGAAATGGAAATCCAACAAGACTGGCAATGAAAATATACATTGCCATGGCGACGGTGGTTGATCTTGGGGTTATTGTTTGCATGGCACTGCCATGATTTCATGATTTTGAGGAAGCCTTGGTACCTGTTAAGTCTAGACAGATACAGTGCACTCCTCTCCTGAGTGTATAGTGAACGAGTTCCGGGGTCACAGAAAGTAGGGCATCTGGGGCAGACATGTTTTCCCAAAATTTTCCAGGAATGTGGCTCTAGATGTGTGTCACCAAACATAGCTGGGAGACATTCCTGTGGACATTCCATGCCTGTGGACAAAATTCCCGTACAATTCCTAGAATTCTTGTAAACTGCACACAATACTGTACCATTAGGTTCCTCCCTGAGACGTCGCCAAAAAGAAAAGACCAGTCAGCCGGCCAGGTCTAAATATGGCTTGACCAGATTATTGAAATCACAAGACGAGAGGAAACAGACTTTCAAAGAGGAGTCAAGGAAATTGCTGAATACAGAACAGAGAGGAAAAGAGGCTGACAACTTTCAGTGACAAAATATACAAAACCCGGAATTCTGCTGCCAAGGTCATCCACCAGGAGGCCCATATTTGACCCAGACCTTTGTCTTCCTAAGACCTACAAACGTACCAAATATCATCACAATCCATCGATGCGTTCTGAACTTATACTGACTACAAATGTGCGAAAACACACACGGACAGACACAGACAGACACACCAAAAACAATACCTCCATTTTTCATGAAGGTAAAAATTCGGTGTTTTCCCACAAACGTATTCTATGGCACTCCTCCCGATGTATTACACAGTGAAAATAGAATGATCTATCTCCCAACGACTGCGTTACAGTAGTAGCTAGACTAAGCGAAGACTCCACGTGACGTCAGATGTATATATCCCGTTGGCATATCTCTATCTGACAGGCGTACTCGTGCCGGTCACGGCGCGTACTTCACATTACTCAGGTCAGCAGCACATCCCACATGGGGACAATATGATGCCATCCTGTAATACATAAAGCAGTAGTGACAAAGGCGCTGTTCAATTCTATCAGCAACGGTCGACTAGGTACAAATTTACGTCCTATAAAATGTGTCAAGTTTGCTGCCCG